CTCACAGTGACTGTGGGTGGCGCCGCCAAATAGAATAAAATAAATGGATTAAAGTCCAATAATTGGTTAACATGTATAACGATATGTCCGATTAAATGGAATTTTATCGTTTGAATTGCTGGTGATTCCTGTTCATTAAAATAAATGGATGTCACCAGCACACCAATCATATTGCAGTCCAAAGTGTTCGTTAATTGGAACGACGTGTCACCAGAACTTGCGCTTTCTGGGGCCACGCAGGGCTTCATCAGGCTCAGCAATGACCTGGTGAAGGGGACCCTGCGTGACCCCAAAAGCGCTAGTTCTGGTGACATCAAAGTCCAAATCCCATTCGCACTGCCACGGTCTCAAAACCACAAGGTATATGTGGTGCCCAGGTGACCACACGGATGGCGCCGTGCAAAACACTAATAGTATTGATATGTTTATTCAATACCCAATGTCACATACTGTCATACGGTGCTAACGTTTCGGGTCCACACTGGTGACATGACGTTCCAATAAACGAAACACTTTGGGCTGCAATATGATTGGTGTGCTGGTGACAACCATTTATTTTTAACTGCAGGAAAGATTCCCGACCGGGCAAGCTGGCAACATGCAGAATTGTATCATGACACCACAAACGTGACAATATCATTTCAGACTCATCTAGTTGTTGTTTCACGCAGTCTCATCCAATTTCTGTGATTGGACAATCGAATGGGGATGGTAAGAAAAGGATTGTGGGATCAGCCCCACTCCCCTGTATAGAAAATCCAGTTCAGATTGTATAAAGTAGAAAATGTAGAATTGTTTGATCACACCCCACACGTCACCATTTCATTCCAGTCTCTGGTAATTGTTTCAATTCCTATGATTGCGCCTCTGTTCTGTTCTACTTTAGATTTCTGTACAATTGGTGCTAATTTAGATTGCACAATATGATTGTAATGTGTGTGGCCAGGAAGAGCCGGTCAATCAAATGTTTTTGAGAATAGAATGATCTAAGGACTCGTTCACACCATAAAACGTGCGCAGTCGTTAATGAGCTGTCAAGGACGCTTTAACGAGAATAGATATTGCACTAACACAGTCCGTCCCAACGTACAGGGAATTTACATCTGTGCATTGTGGCGCACTATAGCGCAGGTTTATGTGCGGTTAACAATGAGCTTCAACATACTGCAATGCACATATACAATGCGTACCGTGTGCTGCGGTAAAACGCATTACATAGCACAATATAGCAAGTGTGATAATGTGAATGAACCCTTAAACTGGCCATACACACAGCAATGTGAGAGAGCGATCGATCTTTCTATTTCATTTTTGGTTGAACTTGCAAAGCAATTGAAGACATGGTTTTGACCGACAGCAATGGAAATGGTGAAAAAACGAACAGCAACGATTGTTACACGTATTGGTGCAATGCAGAGCCACTCATTTACAATGGCACTGCATTGCACAGCATGGGGTGCCATTCATTCTGAACAGTGGACTATTGGACGATGGACTATTGGGATGCCATTAATTCTACATACCATCTCAATGCATTTTGCTGATGGACGCCCCAATGCATATTGGCAATGTCATTTTGAATGGCACCCCAACCCATCTTACCAATGGATGAATGGGGTGCCATTCATTCCTAATGTTGCCAATCCATTCTAAATGGCACCCCAATGTATCTTGCCAATGGACACCCCAACGTATCTTGCCAATGGACACCCCAATGCATCTTGCCAATGGACACCCCAATGCATCTTGCCAATGGACACCCCATAGTATCTTGCCAATGGACACCCCAACTCATCTTGCCCTTGTCATAATTAATGGCATCCCAACGTATCTTGCCGATGGACACGCCAATGCATCTTGGAGATGTCATTTTGAATGGTACCCCAACTCATCTTACCAAGGGACGAATGGGGTGCCATTAATTCCTAATGTTGACAATCCATTCTAAAATGCACCCAATGCATCTTGCCGATGGACGCCCCAACGCAACTTGCCAGTGGACACCCCAATGCATCTTGCTGATGGACTAATGGTGTGCCTTTCATTATGAATGGCACCCTACAAACCTTGTTGTTGGACAACCCAACGCATCTCAATGCACTTTGGCAATGTCATTTTGAATGGCACCCCAACTTATCTTGCGAATGGACAAATGGGGTGCTATTTATTCTTAATGTTGCCATTGTATTCTGCATGGCACCCCAACACATCTTGCCAATGAACGAGTGTTGCATCACAGTTCAATGCACGTCCACGCACTACCCCTCATTGCGTTGCTCTACCAGAAATGATACCTGCACAGTTTTTGGTGCATTGTCAGCCCACTCAATGTGAATAGGCTGTCTTAATGCAGCGAACGTTAATGCACGGCATATCGCGCGCCAACATGCGTGTGTTACTGCACTGCAGCAGCGTGAATGGACCCTAATATTAAAAGTAGGGATGCACAGATACTTTTCGAGTACCAGTGCAGATACTTGGCATTTTCATGAGAACTACCAGGGTTGCAGCGGTTGCAGCCGGGACCCGGCTCTGGTGCTCCACCACTGTCCTGAAATCATTAGTCTGTATTGTTTTAGAAAAACTGTCACATGACAATAAACAAAAATTTATCAGTACTTGTACTTGTAAGTACTCGGCAAGTACCAGTACTCGTACTCGCAAAACTGGTATCTGTGCATCACTTTATTTATATTTATAGAAACAAAATCGTACATTAAAACAGAGATGTACAAATCCCAGGAGCTCCGTGTGTTCCTGACAGATGACAGCTGCCTCCTAATTTTTGAATTTTTCTCTAGTGTAGTCTTGGAGCTCAAAAGTATCGGTACATGTATTCGTACTTGTACCGAGTACTGTACTTGGTATCTGTGCAACCCTAATTAAAAGATAAATATTTTAGGCAGAATGCATCCACTTTAGAGCTGCAAGGCGGCAGAGGTAACCACGGCACAAGCTGCAGAATCTGCAAAGGTTAATTTGACAACATAGCGGAGATTGACAAAACTTTTTATAACTATATAAAGGACGCGATTCTTCCCGGTGAATCTCCATTATGACTGTTGCTGATGAAAGCAGTTTCATGAACTTCCACTTCAAAGGCTTCCAGATACCTTGTTGAATCCAAACCACTAATTGTCCACGTGCCCCCGTAGCAGGAAAGCATTCCCTGCGCCTCCTCTCCCCGCTCTCTGCCTCTTTCTGTTTGCCATTCTGTCTCCAACTGCAAAGGCGGAAGACACCAGAGGGAACATCCGTCACTTCGTGGTAAATAAAAATCCATT